TCTGAAACATTTCCAGCTATGTGTTAGAATAACAACCCTACTATGAACTCCTACAATAATGCCGTTTCTTCTCATCTTGATGTCCTGCTGGCTAACTGCTAACTCACAACTGCACTTGAAGGTTGAAGCCAAACGATCCATGAATTCAATATGTTCATACAATTGAATGGATTTTAGTTAAGCAAACAAGATTAAAACCGACCAAATGAAATAGAATATATCTCATATGGGCACATCAATGCATAGTGATCTCTGTTGAGGCGAATCAAGAAGTTGGCCATACAACATGGACAATCTTACAGTGCAGCTTTTTAGCTTTTCTAAATTTTGCTGAACAGATTAAATAATTGCTATTTTAATGCCCCAAGCTCAAATAATTTCCACTGAATTGTATCCATGACTAAACATCAGGATTAGCATTTAGCAGATTTCCTATCTGTTGATGTTGTAGAAGGCAAGTTCCCATGCAAGTTCTGTTTCTCATGTTCATATTTTGCTGGCATAAAGGATTTTATTTTTCTGTAGCACTGCACTGCATTTAGTCATTCTTCCTTAAATTGTAAATGGATCCAAAACCAGTGTAGTTGTATAATTAAATAATGATTTGAACTGATACAGCTTTGAAGAAGGAAAGTACTGCTTCTCAGAAAAAGGTACATTCAATTGATTGGAAAGTGTCTCCTTGTAATCATGGCTTGATTGTTGTAATGACTGGAGATTCTGATACCAAATTTCAGCTGCTTGTGAAACCAGCTTTAAAGAATACTAGCACGCAAGCTATTAGGATGCCAAAATGTCAGCCAAAACAAAATGTTGGGACACAAGGTTCGGGAAAAGCTGTTAAGCAGCATTCTGGCCATTCGCAAGTAACCCAGGTATGTTATTGTTTGACTTGAAACTTTATCTCTTTCAATGGTACATCAAGTATCTCTTATTTATTTCTGTAAAGAAAGAGAGGAGGTTCTGGACACTACCTAATCCTTTCACTATGTACAAACTTATGTTAAGAACATTATACGATACACACTTCTTGAGAACACACTACTATACTGTATAATTTTCTTTATTGGAATGCATAAACTTGCAGTGGCTATCATACTGGATATGCCAAAAAATTCAGATCTTACCGTCACACTTTACAATAAAATTAGCATTCTTTTTTATAATGCAATTTTCTTGTTAAGCATAGATCTAGCAATGACCAAACCGAGTGGCCAAAAAGGATTTCCATAGCGGACTCCAAATTTATTAAGAACAAGGCTGAGTTTGTTGTTATTGTTGTAAGCAGTGGCCATATAGTTTTTTTCCTCTGCTTTGATAAGAAAGTCTTCTATACCATTGTCTTGGTAATAATATTATGTATCATGGAGTTTCTGATTCTCTTAAATGACCGACACTAACCAGATTTTTGTTTGTTGAAATCCGTCACTAAGACTGACAAGCCAAGTTCATTACGTCCTAAGCCACCCAAGGCTATCAGCAGAGCTAACCTCACTTCAACATCAGCGGCAAAGAGGGATTCCACTGGTAGTAGTCGTGTCAAATCTGATATCAGAAGCTCAAAACTCAGTACTGGTAATGAACTCATGACATACATATTTTTTCAGCAGAAGATCAATTAATATTTTTAGTCTGTAAAACTGTTGTTAATCACCTTGACAGTAACAGTTTCTAGTAAAGGTAGTCAGGCATCAAAAGCTCCCGTCTTAAGTGGTGCCAGAAGGGTATTGCCAAAGCCTGTACCATCGTCCAAGTCCTCTTCTTTGGGGTCTTCAACTTCAAGCAAGATACTTTCTACAAGGTCCTCTACTTTAAGTGATAGCTCTGATAGTATGTTGTCTAAAACCATTGCTAATTCTCCATTAATGACTGCAAGAAGAATTCCAGTGAAGAGTAGCACTTTTGGATCAGCTTCCTCTGATTCCATTCCTAAAACACCATCAAAGGAAGCACTGAAAAATAAACCACCGCCATCCACTCTTTCAGCTTATCTGCGGTCAACTAAGATATCCTCAAGTGTATCACCGGCTAGTTCTATTAGTGAGTGGTCTTCAGCAACATCATCATCATCTTCAACGGTCTACCAAAGGTCTAGTAACTCAAGGAACAGCCTAGATTTCAGTTCCTGTCCATCCGTAGATGATATTGTTGTTCCGGGTCTGAGGTCTACAGATCGAATTGCAGATGAATATAAAAGTAAGGAAACTGCTTTACCTGGTAACAATCCAAATAAATCCTCAGCACAAAGTGGTACCCTTCAAGCTCCTGCAAAACCAACAGGACTTCGAATCCCATCTCCAAAAATTGGGTTCTTTGATGGGGTTAGTTTTGTGGCCTTATCTAAGTACTTGCTTTTAGTTTCAAATTTTGGCTGTAATTGATTGTTCAGGTAACACCGTGTTGGACATAATTTAAAGCTTGATATATTTTTCTTTTATTTTGCCCTAGACAAAGGGTAAATTGATATTTATAAATATTTCTTATTTCATTATATAACTTTTAGGATTTACATCTTCTGAACTTATCAGTATTTGGCTACATTGCAGGCGAAGTCTATCCGCACTCCTAATGGAACTCCGCGCACTCAATCTGGCTTAGGTAATGTGCTAACTAAGACTGGAGCTGCTATCTGCAGTCCAAAAGGGAGCTCAAACATAAAGCCAAAGAATGGGAAGTTTCCAACAGCTAGAGCAGTATCTTCTTTGGCAAACGTAAAGCCTGATTCTCCAAAATCTAGGTCTCCTGCATCCTTTCGAGAAAGATCACGTGCATTGATAAATGATTCTGGAGTCTTAACTGGTGTAAAAGATTCTCCTAGCTTATCACCTGAAGCTCAAGGAAACAGAAGTGGAGAAAATTTTTTGAAGTCGCAGAAAGTTCAAGCCAAAGGGCCAGATGGAAATAAGCGAGTTCTAGATGCAGGTACTGGGGCCATTATAAACGAAAATTTAGGTGAGGTGATTGATGAAACAGCCTGCAATATGCATACTAGTATACGCAAGGAGGATACCAAGATTGTTCTTGTTGAAGATAATAATGCTATGGGCTCTAAAAGTATTGGACAGAGAGTGGATAAAGATGTATTGGATGACCAAAATCATAGGAAGTGTTTGAGTTCAATTTTGAAAACGACAGAAGATCAACAGGAATTAAGTGGATCAAAGGAGTATGTAAATTCAAGCGTTTATAGTCAAAAGGGTGAACCTCTATCTGATGTATCAGACTATGTTTCGGTCTCTGTCCCTGAAACAGCCTCTACAACTACTGCCAGCAGAGCACCACTTGCTTTCAAGGATTCGTTTTACAATAGTGAATGCCCTGATTTCTCTACAGAATCAACTACCCAGCTTGTTGAAAAGATGGTTATTGCCTCACCTAATACTGAGCAGAAAGAGAACATCTAACACTAGTTTTCAAGTGCAGTATCTTTGTTTCTCAGGTACAGTTACACCACTCTTGATAGATTAAATAGGATCCTTTTTTCGGTAGCTCATATTTCAAAATTGACAAATCTTTTCTTGGCAATTTTTTTCAACAGGGAAAAACTCAAAAAAGAATAGAGGATCATCTTCTTTTTTAGTACGTCAAGTCCCCACATATCGCAGATACTATTTATTTGACAACTTGTAAAATTCTTGAATGCAAACTTTTAAACTAAACCTACATGTATTTATTCCGTGCAGAGGGCATAATATGGCCGAAGAGGGGTACTTGGAGACTTGTTTAGAGGATGATAAAGCTGTTCTCTTTTCTTTGATGGTGAGAGGCTTGCTACTGGAGGTGTCTGGTAATTCAAATATCTCCATTCATGCACTAAACGATACAATGCAAGGGGAATTTTATACAAATTTTCATATGATGTATATCAACATTACTACACAACTTTCCTACTAGATGAAGTTTTGATACTTACAGGTGGATGTATTTATTGTTCCCAAGTTTTATTTGCAAATGTGCAAAAAAGAATCCTATAACTTAAATTTAATTTAACCGTGTTATGTCATCTAACTCCATATTAAACTTCAAGCAGTGGAAATAAATCATTTCATCCTTTAGCTGATAGTGGAAGGTTTTGGATGGCAAGAATAGTACTTCCTGAGTGTTGAAACTCGGCACTTCTCGTCACTAGTTAACTGACATCTATTTATTCATGTTTGGTGGCATATTCTAGTTATTTAATACACATATCAATTAAATAGTGGCTAGAAGTACTATAAATTTGTTGCACAAAATAGACTATCAAGCCCTTTTGCTCTCAATTCTCTCTCCTTGAGCACACTACACATTCCAAGCTGCGCCTTTGATCTAAAAGTATGCTCCTAGAGTTCAGAAATTGTCAACTGCAATTCGCATTGATCATGTTGAAGACGATAATTTTCTGCATTGTTTCTAAGAGAATTCCCTTTCCCATTCTCATGTAACAAAGACGTGCAGAAATTTTGAGTCATCCAGTGGAAGTAGACATGGAACCCTAAAAAGATGACGCCATTGCCTTAATTTCCAGAAGTTTACATGGAAAATAATTGATGCCCCAATAGCACTATATACTAATATGGCAACTTGGTCAAGAAAATAAGCTGTTCCGTTAGTTTCTCTTGCAATATCCGAATTAAGCTTAATGATCATAGAAATTAGAAGTTTTGGTTTTCATATCCACATTTTAGGCTCTGATCCTCTTGTAAATGCTGCTATTATCGAGTTAAACATATGCTCTTAACAATAGGCTGAAGCTCAAAAATCAAAGTAATCAATAGCCTCTTGCACTTTTAATTCCCTTTTAACTCATAAAGAGTTCTTTGGGACATTCGCTGTTCAATGCAAGTATATATGCCAACAAACACAAAGTTGCAGTTAGAAAGAAATGATAACATAAAATCGACAATATCAAAATCTCAGTTCAGTAAGTTAATGACACATACTAAATTGTTCAAGAAATTGAAATTTTGTCAACTTATGCTCATGAACCACTAGAACAAAAGCGAGGGAACCAAAAAACAAAACTAAGACCTCGGCTTTTCTTTCTTCTCCTTGAAGAGAGCCAGGAGAGAAACACCTGACACCTTAACCACCTTAAATCTAACACCAGGAATATCTCCCACAGCATGACCTTTACGCCCAAATCCAGCAATCAATACTTCATCCTGTGGCAGAAACATTACTAGATTAGGTATTAAAGAAAACGAGTAGCAGAGGAATCACAGCAATTATATTCATAACAAGAACTCACATTTTCCTCGATATAGTTCAAGCAACCATCATTAGGAACAAAAGCAGCAATCTTCTTGCCATTCTTAATGAGTTGAACCCTAGCACACTTACGGATGGCAGAGTTTGGCTGCTTAGCTTCAATACCTCTGTACAAAAACAGCAATTTATACCAAGTTAAGGAATTGATAATCATATCAGAGCAGTATAAGAATTGAATTTGAAGACGAGACAAGGTAGAAGGTAGAGTCTCACATCTTTTCAAGCACAATGCCTTTCGCATGAGATGAACCGGCAAAAGGTTTCTTCCATTCATTCCCAAGGTGAGATTTCTTATAGGCCTTGTCAGCCCACCTTTGTCTTCTACGGTGGGACTTGAGTTTGCGACCAGCTCCCATACCACGTGTCTTCCTGGTAGCTTACGAAATCATAAATCCACTCAACGAGATTGGAAATACTATAAATGTTTGAAAATTTTCATTGATATCTTTTTTAAACTCAAAAAATTTCAATTTAACAATGAAATGATATTCCAAATTGTCTTGGTCACTTGTAGCCAAACTGCATCTCATCACTGAGAACTCCATCGTTCTTAGAATTTATATAACGAGGCTTAACAAATTGCTCAAGAAGATAGAGTACCCATCAAGTCATACACATTGCTGTTTCCAAGATTTATTAAGCCCGTGTTTGGTTCTCATTATTTCAAAACTATCTTTCCTCAAACTCATTTTCAACGACACATTCTTCAAATAAAATCTTTTGCACGTTAATCCAAAACTTTTTCCAACATTATCAAATAATGTCCATCAAACAGGGCCTTAATAATGCTTGGACAGTTTCAGAAGATAAGTGACAGTCGAGAATAAAAATCCCATGGTAGTAATTCTAATAACCAACGAGGTTCAAAAATTAAGATCCTCAACAGGCTTCTGATACTTCATAAACCACATTCGAAACAGAAAGTTAGAATGATAGGTTAGAATCATTATTCCCCTCTCTAAGATATGACTACAAGTACATTTCTCAAAGTTTTATGACTCTATCCTTGCAGTACTCTCAAAGTTTTCAATCATGCTACATGTACATCTTTTTTTCAATCATTTTTTTCCATTGTGCCACATGGGACAATCTAAAAGAAAAACACACTTTCCCGCCTGACACTTTTTGAATTATCACACAATGTACACCAAGATGTAATTCATGGAATGTACATTTAGCATTATTCCGAAGCTTTATGACTCTTTCTATCCTTACAGTACACATTCATGTTCAAATGGTCAAAATTTCCAGTCACACACAAACACTAAACTGTCAAAACATGTAATTATCCCTGATTAGAAGCAATTTCTATAACTACTAACGTTCGCAATTACCACAATCAAGTGACAACATAAAATAAATGAATGGCCTCCTTAAGAATTGTTATACGCGAGAAATGAAAAAAGCAAAAGATAAAGCAACAATCCTTTGGTGGGAACTATGAAGAGTAAATAATAATAAAAATATATATTATCAAATTCTTCATATTTTTTGTGAATAACTGGAGCTCTCGAAATTTGAAATCCCCTATATTCTACTAATGTCCCAACATCCTAACGAACCAATCAGCTAACATTACAGCTATTTAAAACTAATCAATTTTCAACTGAAAAAACAACATTATTACTTTTCCATGAATATAGCTCATAGCTTCCTAAAGGTGTATGCAATTTTCTTTTCTTCGATGCATCGAGAAAGACTTAAACAGTGTAAAGGTAAAGAATATGAATATACATACCCCATTGTTGCAGAGTGAAGAGAACGAACAACTCGAGAGCGTTGACGGGTAGGAGAAGAGGAAGAAGATGCGCCGAATTCAGAGAAAAACCCTAGTCCAAGAGGAAGAATTAGAATGTGCGTGAGAGCTATTTATATGCCTGTCTGGGTCGGGTCGGGTCGGGTACCCGCAATATTTAATTGCTCCTTCTCCCATCATTCTGCAAAAGCGTTAATATCAATTTAGTGCTCCAACTATATGGGTGCATCAAATGCATCCTCATACTACCAATAAGCGTCAATCTCATCCTCCAATTCTGTATAAGAGGTAATATCTTCCTCCAAATATTCAGATATGTCAATTTAGTCTTTAAACTATTCATAAGTAGCAATTTCATCCTTCAACTATTTTATAGTACTTACTTCATCCTCAAAGTATGTAAAAGAATGAATATCAACATTCCACTATAAAAAGTGTCATTATTATTCGAATAATACTATCTAACATCATTGGTACTAGAACACGAGTGCATGTGATTTTAAATGATAGTTTAAATGAAAGATAAAATTAAACGATTCATTTAATTATGTCTATCATTTAATGTGGCATTAGTGCCATATAAATTGATGTTTTATTAGTGCGAGATAACATTACTCTTTTTATACTTTTTAAACTATTATACAAGTGTCATTTTCATCCTCCAATTATTTCACAACTTCATCTTCCAATTGTGTAGAAAGTTGAATATCATCCTCCAACTATTTCACAGTGCTTACTTCATCCTAACCATGTAGAAGTGTGAATCAACCTCCAACCATAAAGAGTGTCATTATCGTCCTCCAAGTATTACATAGTGCTTAATTCATCCTCAAACTATGCAGAAGCATGATTATAGTCCTCCAATTATTTATGTGCGTAAAACAATCCTCCAACTACAAATTGCCATCAATTTCATCCTCCAACTCTAAATTATGGTCATCTTCACCTTCAAAATATTGATTATCATCAATTCATCCTCCAACTACATATTAGCATCAATTTCATCCTCCAATAATAACAAAAGCATCAATTTCATCCTCAAACTATTTAAAAAGGGAGAATTTTATCCTTCAATTGACGTTAATCGTAATTCATCCTCCAACTACAGACAGCATCAATTTAGCTATCAAACTATTTGAAAATGCTAAGTTCATCCTCAAACTATTAGATTTTTCCAGTTTCATCCTCCAACTATAATCAAGCATCACATTTATCCTCTAGCTATTTCATAGTGCTAAGTTCATACTTCAACTATTGATTAGCATCAATTCACCCTCCAACTACAGATTAATGCCAATTTACCCCTCCTGATTATTTTTAAATGCTAAATTCATCCTACCATCATTTACATCATATTCATACTCCAACTTTTCGAAGTTTTAACTTCATCCCTACAAGTCTAGTCTTCCAACTATTTGGAAGCATCAATTTAGTGCTCGAACTATTCAGATGCATAAGTTCCATCCTCAAACTACTCGTTGCTTCTGATTATACTTAATACAAAGCTGATATTCAGGTAGGATTGATAAGTTTCTCATCTATAATGTCATTCAGGTATTCCAAAACATCAATTCGTTGTCCAACTACTTGGATGAGTCAATTTTGCCCTCCATCTATTAATAAAAGATAATATGATCCTCCAACTATTTAGTTAAGTCCATCGCCGGCTTGACCCATCAGGTGAACCAGTTCATACTTGCATATGGGATGAGCCGAGTGCGAGCTAGCTCATTTTCCAAAATCTCGACTCAGCTCGGCCTGGCCCAGCCCACCAACTTGTCTATTACGAAGATTTTTATTAGGAGAAAAATTCATTTCTCCTATTTTATCTTTACCATATTTCAAAAATAACAAAACAACTTTCACATTTCAAAAATCAGATTTTTGAACCTATACATACACATATATATAAATATATAAAAAGATATAAATAAATAAATAAATAAATAAATAAAATTAACCCACCCCCACCTCCACCACCCCCACCGATTCGGTGGCTATTCCGGCGACCGCTCCGGTGACCATTCTGATTCCGACGATCGCTTCGCTATCGTTCCGGTGATTACTCCGATTCCGGTGACCGTTTCGACGACTAATCTAATTCCGACGACTCAAGTCACAACCTAGGTCACAACTCAGGATTTTGTTCATAATCACAGGTTATTATTATTTTTTTTTTTATAAGGATCACGGGTTATTTTCAAATGATACAACATAGGTTACAAAATATTTTTGCACATGGCTCAGATTAATATTTAGTCACAAATTATCGGATTTTAAGGTCACGGTTAATCCATTACACGGTTACAATTAGTCCATTATGCAGTCCCAGTAGGTCACGAAACACAACACAGATTCAAACAACACCGCCTCAGCTACCTGTAAGCCGGTACCACCTCACCGCCAAACCACCAATAAAAACAGCCCAAAAATTCCTTATACATCGAACTGAGAATGGCTGACCGTGAAGGTCGCGACAACGCAAAGCACTTCCTCAATTTCCGGTGACAACGCAAAGGTGGATGCTCCAATCTCTCACCTCTCACAACTGTACGCACAACACAGAACACAACCACCGCACGCACAACACCCAACCACACTACCACAGCACCCACCACCGCCACAATAGATTGAATAAAAAAAATCCCAAAAAATGAGGCAGCGTTGCAAATCCGGTGGCAACAAAGCTCCGCCTCATCAAGCCGCCTCACCGATCCGTTTGTAGCAGCGACAACCACTGCATCCAGTCTTGGAGTGGAAGCCACCGGATGTTGGGAACGACGCCACTGGTGGTCTCGCAGCGACGCGAGGGCGACACTGCCGTCGCGACGTTCACAGATAGAGGAGATGAGGGGAGGGGATAGATGGAGGGGGAAATGAGGTTGCTGCAGGCGAAGGCGGTTGGGCGATTGGGTTGCTGCAGGAGAAGGCGGGGGCATCGGTTGAGAGAATCGGCCAATCGGGGATGAGTAGAGTTTGATAATTAAATAAATTTTAGGGGTGGGTGTATATAAACTATTTTTTATAATATTATTATTAATATTTAATTAAATATAAAAATTTGTGTTTATCTATAAAATATTTGATTTTTGAATATTAAAATTTAAAATTTGATTTTTGATTTTGGATCTTGAAAAGTAGGGTCCATGTAATTTCCACTTTTTTATTACTTGATTCGTGCACACAGCTACTTCAAGCACGAATCGTACTGTTAGCTACTCACCCCACTTGACCTCGTGGGCTCATTCTCCAGACATGGGTAATAGAGCCGAAAAAGGTGCAGGTCAGAGAAAAAGCTCTCTAATGGATCAGTTGCGATTATCATCCCAAATTAACTGCCAATGGACAACTATCAACCAAAGGATGATGCTGCTGCCTTTCACTGTCAAACGCTACTGCCACCTACTTTGTGGTTACAAAAGTTGTAAAGAATAAAGCCACCTACCCTACCCCACCCTGTCCCACCACACCGCCATTTTTTTTTTCTCTTTGTAATTTACTGCACTTTCATGGAGAAGAATCGATTCCTCTGAACAACTTTGAAATCTTTTACTTTTTAGGTTTTATATAATAAAAACTAATTTTTTTTTTCTTTGATTAAACAATTGCTGGGATGTAACAGAGATTTGAAAAGAGAAATAAAACGAAAGAGGAAAAATTGCACTGTCGATCCTCAATCTGTTGTGGCAATCTGGTCCAACATTTATAAAAGTGCAAGTTAGTCTCTGAGCTTTCCTTACAATTGCATTATCAGTTGGAGATTGCACGTCTATCTTCTGATTCAAGCGAAGTATCGACATCCAACTTTTTGTATAAACTATTGTTACCTCTCTCTCTCTCCCTATCTCTTTACAGCTGTCTCTCTCTCTCTCTCTAACGTATCACCGCTTCCACTGAGATCATACTTACGAATCTTTCATTATCATTTATCATACTGAAATCCCCCTTCTTAATTCTTGCATGTTGAATTGCAAAACCACTTTGAGATTGGGCTTCTCTTTATGTTTATAAATCTACTTTATTCTTGTTGCCAACTTGAGTAGAACTAGCTGCTGCTAGTGGATACTGGAGATACAAATATTATATGTTCTGCTGGATGTGTGAAGGATGCAGGGTTCGGAAGAATTGAATTCATGGCGAGAGGAGTTGGCGAGCCTAGTCGAAGACACTGGGATACCATTCACTGGCGATGGAATCGGAATTTTAACTCCCGAATCGACAACGACGGAGCCACCGTTGTTCGAATCGGTGGAAACCGAAGCGACGTCGTCTGTGGAATCGGAGAGCTTCCAGGATCAAATTAAGGGGTTTGCTAAGGCGTGGGCCGAATTGATGACAGAATTGGGGAGAGGGTGTAACGATGTGGTGCAACAGACACTTTTAACTGAGGACTCTTACATTGTAAAGAAAACTAGAGGACCGCTAAACCAGGTTTCGGAGAAATTGAGGTTTCTCAATGAGTTCTTGCCTGAAGATCGTAATCCCGTGCACGCGTGGTCGGTGATTTTCTTCGTTTTCATCCTAGCTCTTGCTGGTAATTGTAAACGTTGAATCCCATAAAAATAATCCTGCTTTGTTTCTTGTTTGTCTCAAATTATAGTCTAGTTTCTTATCTAAGATTGTAGTTAACATATTAGTTTCCTAATATGCCCCCATTTAATCTGCTTCGTTATCACAAATATAAATTACTCGATTCTTCAATTGTAGTTGGAACAATAAATTAAAAATAAAAAAAAATTCATTTCATCTTCCATGATATTTATGCATTTGTATTTGTATTGGATGACTTTGGGACGTTAATTGCGTTGATTTTTGCATTAAACAATGACTAGTACCAATAATAATTTAACTAACTTAAATATTGTATGCATAATTTAATTACCTTGAATATTAATTGCATTAATGTATGGGTATATTAGGAAAAATGATAGTAAAATTTATTATTTCAACTATATTAACTAAATTTTCTTAATTTGCGTGAGAAAAAACTTAGGACTATCTTTATGGACGGACGGAGTACTATTTTTGTAATGGTTTAAAATATGAATATTTTGGTTTCTTGTGCAACTACTTTTTAAATTTTGCCTACTCTGTTAGTTACTGATGTTGTATTTTGCAGACCAACTAGTGTTTTGAATATAAATAGGTGCTAGATAATACTAAGCCCATGTTTGGTTTAGTTAAAAATTAGATTTTCAATCGATTTTGATAAAAGTTGATGAAATGTGTTGTTGAAAATAAGTTTGAGGATAAAATGAGTTTTGGAAAATGAGGGTCAAACGAGAGCTAAATATATAAGATCGCTCGTCACGACTTTTGAAAAGTCAAAAATTACTTTTGAGAATAAAAAGTTACTTCTAAACATGTTTGAATAATTTTCTGCTCTTCAACAAGAAACAATAGTCGTGCAAACGAGCTAATAGTCAATTTTAGTACTTTCTGTCTGCGGAAGGAAGATCTGCTTTGCTTTGATTTGTCATGTTTTTCGTAGTTTGTACTGCTCCTATTTGCATTTCACCTAAGCAGTTGCTTTGGACAAATATGCAGCTCTGTCTGAAAATAGATACTATAGTAATCTTCAAACCGTGAAGAAAGTGTACATACATCCTCCGAGTGCTGTCCGAGTGCTGCTTCCGGATGGTAGATACATGGCATATCGTGAGGTAGGAGTTCCAGCTGACAAAGCTAGATTTTCGTTAGTCACCCCACACGGTTTCCTTTCTTCTCGGCTTGCAGGTACTGAGAGAATTCTTGATACAACCTAAGGAATTCGGACACTATTTGCTTGCTATGATCTATTGAACTATTTCCATGTGATAGGTATACCGGGTGTCAAAGTGTCCTTGTTGGAAGAATATGGTATTCGATTAATCACTTATGATCTTCCCGGTTTTGGAGAGAGCGATCCTCATCCTAACAGAAGCCTCAGTTCATCAGCTCTGGATATGTCATACTTAGCAGAAGCTGTAGGGGTAAAGGGAAAATTCTGGGTTCTGGGATATTCGAGTGGCTCTATGCATGCATGGGCTGCACTAAAATATATTCCAAATCGAGTTGTAGGTACGCTACCTGATACAACTGTAATGTGTGATTGAACTAAGAATTATATGCATTATGTACCATTTCTGATGCATCAATGATTTCTCTTACAGGTGCAGCCATGTTTGCGCCATGGATCAATCCATATGAATCAAGCATGACTAAAGAAGAGAGGTCTGGAACTTGGAAAAACTGGACGCGAAAAAGAAAATTCTTGTACTATCTTGCTCGAAGATTTCCTAAATTTCTTGGTTCCCTTTACCGTCGAACCTTTCTCTCTGGAAAGCATGGACAAATAAATAAATGGTTATCTTTGTCACTAGGGAAAAAGGCAAGTTCATTCCTTCTGTCATCTCCACACAGGATGTATTCATAGGCTATTTGGCTTTGCATATTTGCAAACTGAACCAAACTACTGTAGCTGGGCAAGAAATGCACTTGCTAAGAGCTTGTTTCAGACTGGTTTGCCAAATAAGCAAGCCAACCATGAAAATGTTTCACAGTGAGTGAACTCACCAAATTTAGCTGAAATAGTTCTTATTCTTGTCATGATATTAAGTTACCTCGAAGAATCTTCTGCTTGTGTTAATTTGTTGGAGGCCTACGGAAACTGCATCTTTAAATTTCGATTTCTAGTATCAATGGATGTCAGAATACAATACTGTAAGCTTTTTGACACATTTCTATTCCTAAGATGTTTATCACCTTTTTATTCATGTAGGATATAACTCTGGTTAAAACATCAGATTTTGAAGAATTCTGGCACAGGGATGTTGAAGAGTCGATTCGTCAAGGTAAAACAAAACCATTTATTGAGGAAGCCGTACTTCAAGTGTCCAATTGGGGTTTCAACCTCATGGATCTCCAAGTTCAGAGGAAATGTCAAAGGAAAGGCATTTTTCCATGGCTGCCGTTCATGTATGGTGAGGCAGAATGTCACTTGACTGGGTTTCTTGGCCCTATTCACATATGGCAGGTAGGCATGCGTTTTTGGAAACTTCGATGATTGGCTGTATTTTCTACTTTGGCAAATTCAATCAATGTTGCATTTTCATTCTCCTGTTTTTATTGAACAGGGAATGGATGATATGGTGGTTCCTCCCTCGATGACTGATTATATTGCTCGAGTTCTGCCCAATACTGTCATCCATAGACTTCCAGAAGAGGGTCATTTCTCATATTTCTTTCTGTGCAATGAATGTCACAAACAAATATTCTCTACCCTTTTTGGTAACCCACAAGGTCCACTCGATACTGTAGATGTAGCTCCCATAAAAGAGAATGGAGAAGATGAATCGACTAAAGCAGATTCTGCCATTGGGATTTGATGCTAATTGTTAGTTGAAATAGCCAAGTATGCCTCCAATGGGGATGCTTAGTGGAGCATGAGAGGCGAAAAGCCATAAAATTCTTGATTTTTGTTTGCTGGAGTAAATTTATTTCTAAGTTCTGACTGTAGATGTCAAAGATTTGCTGGGAATCTTCAGTCAGATTAAAAAGCAGAGTCGCTGCTCTTGGTCTTTCCAAGCAATATCTCTTTTGCTTCATTAATTTTAGAAGCAAGGTAATGACTACCACCTGCATCGGGATGGTTAGGATTAATTAAAGACAGACTACTATAAGATATCCTTCGTGCTGATGTTTTCCTTGTACTACTTTCATTCCATAAAGACATGCTTGATTTCCTTTTTATTTGCTCCAAATTATACCCTGAGCAGAAAGTGAAACAGGCAGTACTGTCATATAATCAAAAAATTATATTTCATTAAATGACACTGGCAATAATGAAATATGCGCATAAACATATAAAAGATCAAAGCTAAGCCCCTGTCCGGTTTTACTAAAAATCATATTTTTTAGTAGATTTTGATAAAAATTGATGAAGTGTGTGGTAAAAGAGTTGATAAAAGTTGTGGATCAGTTAAATGTGTGCTCGATAATGAATTTTAGAAAACGTGGACTAAACAAAAGGGCTATGACTAAATTCTAATAGTTGCAAATTTAAGGGACATAAATTTCGAATGAGATGCTTGTGCAACATCTTATGTTCCCTTTTAAGACAACCCCATTCTTCTCCTCAAATATCTCCATTGTAGCACTTCAGGCACGAATCTATCAGTCAAAATACCCACCTGATGGGATGGGGAGGTGGGCCGGTTTGCTATGATGTTTTCCTCTCTTTTTCTTTAAGCGGGTTTCTCATCTTTTAAATGTAAATGAAAATTATTCACTGGAGACCGGCGTTACATACTTGAAAGGTTGAGAACCAAATAAAGGTTGGAGAATTGTTTGTACAAATTATTCTAAAATCAATATGTTAAGAAACGGATTGTTCAATTGTTTTAAAGGCGAAATTAGTTGTCTAACACGAAAATTACAGAACTAGTCACCAACTTATTGCCTCAAGTAACGAATAGGTGGTTCACAATCTTATTTTATCTTGCATTCAAATCCTCAACTTATCAATTTCTAGCACGTCTAAGCTCAATGAAATCCCATGACCTCACTAGTACTATATAAAATAATAACTAATTATCCCTCTAACATTCCATTGTCGTCCAGCGGTTAGGATATCTGGCTTTCACCCAGGAGACCCGGGTTCGATTCCCGGCAATGGAATAAACTTTTTGGCTACACTCATAAGCTTAAATAACGGTAGAACACAGTTTCCAGCATGAATAAATTGCAAAAATCATAATTTTAATTTTGTCCAAGAACATAACAATCAAACCCATGACACGAAAACCTTTGACAAAGTAGATAGCTGTGTGTTTCATCCTGGCACAAACAAGACATTCAAGCATTTGTACAAATTCAGTACAATATGTTCTTATTTCATATAAATAATGACTTGCTAATACACAATCATTGTGGCATTTAAGCACAAGTAAATGCAGTGGTTCTACGAAAACTCAAGACATTGAACAGTAGTTAGGTTATCAGCACAATCAAAAGTTCACATTCATAGTATAAAATATGCACGCCACTTGACTCGTGATGATTTGTTGCGCATGCAATTGCGTTGCAGCACATGACCAATATGATCAACAAACTTGCTCGTGTTACGAGTCGCGGCCATATTGGCCTAGTATCCTAAGATTCAGGGTCAACGACGATCCCCTTTAACCCAACTTCTTCAGGCTGGATTATATGAGCAAAGATTACACAGTAAGTAATTTCCCCATAACATAATAAATGGAATGTATTCAATGAATCCTTCAAAAAGGAAAATATTGATGGAGTACTTGATAAGGGCATTACTTCAAACAAAATCTACAGGAGCTATAAAATAAATTTAAACCACATCACAGATATTACAAGGGAAAAACCAAAACAGTTAGAACTTCAAACACATCTTCTCTTTCATCTTGATTTTCAGTTGTTGAATCAACCCGCAACATCTGCAATGCCTATGGAGCATCAACATTCACGTCTCCAAACCTCAGAAACTAAGATAGGACAAAAGATGCCATTCTATAAAGTTCTCCAATCTGTTGGAACCCCTTTCAAGGATCTCTCATAGATTCCCTCCTGTGTAATCATTCTTCTTTCCAGCAGCAGAATTTTGACCATCTCTCAAGGGTGGCAACTTAGACAATGCCCAGTCTGGTGAGCTGTTTAACCATAGTACTTCAGCTGTCTCCTTGTGTTTAAAGTCAGGTTGTTTAGGATTCCTCTTGTTTGATCTATTGTCCCACCATTTATCAGGATTTTCCACCAAGTTCTTCCAGGAATCATCCCCTTTTCCATCCCGCTTCCTTAGAACAGGCCCTTGACCATCTTGCACTTGCTTTGCTCTAAAAACCTTAACATCAAATTCCAACTTTCCAAGCCCTGGAAATACCCATTTTGGAGCATTGTTGACCCAGAGTCCGTCACCACTCTCTTTGTGCTTAAAATCTGGGTAGTTTTCTTTAACCAGTCCATTAGACTTGTGTTGGCGATAATCCCACCACTGATCAGGATTTTTCACAAGATCCCTCCAAGAATCGAAGTTCGTCTCTCCATTTCTTTTCTTGCTAGAAATCTCTCCACTCTTCACATTACCTTTTTCTGGTTTAGACTCGCTCTCAAATACTCTCTCCCCGTTGTCCTCGAATTCAGCAGCTTCCGGTGCTGCGGCTGCCTTAGAACCACTGTTCAATGATTGCTCAAGAGAATTCCCAACAGAAATGCTTGAGCCACCATCATTCTTCATGCCCAAAGAACTTGAATTTTTCGCATATTCTAATGCATCTCTCCATGCCCGATTTAGAGTTTCGTCATCCTCCGCCATAGAATCACCATCATCTGAAACAACTGACACCTCTTTCTTAGCGCCCCATTTATTAATAGGTTCCTCAACAGTTGAAATCCCTTTTTTCTTGTTCGAATGATTCCTCTTCAATCCCTCCACAAAGTTAAGATTTTGAACCACAACATGATACTTACCAAGACTCTCACTCAACACCAACGGCAAAGGGTCCACACTCAAATGCCCGGCCACATAAACACAATCATTCTCCTTCACATGGCAAGCCACAACATGAGCCAAGTCACTCTCAAACACTATCGGAATCAACAAAGACTTGTTTTCATTACCATTTTCTTGAGAAATTGCCGTTACAGCCCAGTGTTTTCCATCAGGGGTAGACTCAAAACGAACAGGAGTCTTTACATAGCCAATCAAATTCACAGAATTAGCAACCTTTGCTTGATATGGGATCTCAGTTGGCCTTGGCCAAACAGCCAGTGTCTCTGCTTGTTTCTTGACCCTCTGAGACCAACTCAAAGATGATTCTGAAGATTTCTGGGTTCTCGATTTCTTGGGTTCTTGGATTTTCAGTTTACTATTAGAAATAGTATCCATGCTAGTTCTTGTGGAATAAAGATAGGATTGTTGGAAGCAAGAAATAGGGCGAATTAAAAAGAGGCATTTTCTTGGTACAGGTGAAGTGATCAAAAGATGGTATGGTATTTTGGCTCTGGCCAGGAAATTCATTGTGATGATTCTTGCACTGTGAATTCAGAGTGAGAATTCAAAGTAAATGAACGAAATTGATTTAGGGTTTTTGAGGGTTTTCTAGCGAAGGTAGAGGAAAAGCCGAAAAAGGCCCGTGGATTGAGAATTTGGAAGAGGGTTGAAACGGTTTGCATCCAAGAAAACCTCTACAGAGCTGTTTTTTGTAACTAAAGTCGCACTAGCAACTTCTTCGATCACTATATTTTAGTAACATTTTCTGATTTCTAGCCTCAATTACAAGTTTCAAAACGAATTATTATTATTTATTTTTTTTGAAAATAAACATTTCATTAATTAACTAAATAGCAAGAAACGGATACGAGGAGGAGTGACCTCCAACACAATTCTCTCTTCAGAGAGTTTAAGTGTTTCCAATGCTACAACGAGCAACATCTTACCATCGAGGGACAATACAAACAGACAACAAAAACAAAAGCAAACAACCAGCAAAATGGGCCTAAGATAGCAAGGGCCTACACAACACCAAATCTAATCCAATCCAATCCCCAAAGCAGGCCCAAATTGAGAAACTTGAGGCAGGAGCAAAGGCAACAAAGGCAGCGAAGCAGAATGCGAAGAAATCGCCTCCCAATCTATGATTCGTGCACCTGGATACCAGATAAACAACTGAGATGGGCTAAAAGTCCGGATGAACAACATCTTACCATGCGAATTATTAGCACTTACTATTTATTTTGATCATTTAGCCCTGTTTGACCCCATTTTCTAATACTCTTTTTTCTCCGAATTTATTTTTAACTACACATTTTATGAAATCCACATTTTTTATCAACTTTTAACGTTACATTTCATCAACTTTACCAAAATCTACTACAAATATAATTTTTAACTAAACCAAACAAGATTTTAATCTTCTGTATCAATTTTAGGTGCTTGAACAAATAATTTAGTTCTGCCACTTGCTAGTGACATCGTAATTTAGCCCCGGTTTGAGCAGCCTCAATATCGACAGATTTTACTAAGTGCGTGTTTGACACCCATTAATTTACTTTCTGATTTGTTACATGATCATTTTCAATTACACAATAAAATATTCTACATGTATATCAAAAATTTTTTCCTACTTTTTAACGTCATATTCTCCTAAAAATCACTATTTAAAAACTCTTTTTCTACAATAATGATTGTCAAACAGGCTCTAAATCAACAAAACCAGCAAGGTATTCTCCACCAACGAGAGTAACCAAGTGTTCGACAATCAAATTCGACCTACCAGATCCTTCTGATGGGGCAACACACAGGTTTCTTATAACATATGCCATTTCAAAAGGTGCAGTTGAAAGAAGGCACAACAGCAGTGGTGCTGCTTCACTTGACCGTATTAATTTCTTGTGCTCAAAAGAACCAGCAGCAATGTTAGAGATGGCCCAAGAGGCCTCCTGCAAAATGATAGAGATTGTAAAATGGCTCAAATAATAATAATAATCCAGCTACAAAAGAAATTAAGGTGGTAGAATTGAATAAATAAATCGCGTATCTTCTTTAAAACTCGATGTTCACTTCTCAAACATTATTATTTTCCATAATTTGGATTTAATCCCCCAAATTGGCCAAGGCAAAAAACTGTTTTTTGCCTTTGAGATATTCCCCTGCATTGACGATATTCCCTGTACACGTAGTGCTGTTCTACAAGTATTTGAAGTAGATCACTTCTTGGTAGTACACTGGTAGCAGCATTTGACAGCAAGTAATAAATAAATTACAGGCCAAAATTGAAATTTTGTGACATAATAAGGTAACACAACCTTTACAACAATTTTTGACTTATGCTGAACTTCCAATTGATTGATCAAAATAACAAATTATGAAAAGAGTGTCAACAAACAAACGAATATGAAGCATGCTATAAACATTTGCGCGGTTTCATGTACTATACATGACAGATCCTTTGCAATGTTGAATAGAGCTCCACGGAGATAAGTGGCTGATTTAATCATTGAGACATTAACAGCTTAAGCTCTCTTCAAGTGCCGAAGAATTGCATCACGAACTCCATCAATTCTTATTAGATCTGTTGCAGCTTTCGGATCAGGTTCCTACATCCACAGATGATGACATTTTATGCAGTTCAAACAATTTTATAATCAAGTGAATTCTACAGATCTACAATTAAGGATCAGCATGACATTGCAGTCCCTTGCGAAATGAGGCACTAGACAACCTTAATTCAGTTGGTTTTGAAAGATGGATCGTTTTAAGACTCTATCAAGTCTTTAACGGGTGATTCAGCACCTTAATTAGGTTTGATAATGCCCAAGCAGCTGTTCTCACACTTGTTTGGTTGGATCACTCTTGCAAGAGGCAGTAAAGCTCCTTGGGATAGCAGAACATTGGAGATAAATACCAATCGTAAGGTCTGAGACGACCCAGAAAACAATGGATCATATCCTTAGCTCCTCTTCTTCACCAGTAACATTTCCTAATGCCCATGCACACTGCTCTGCAACAGGCATCGAACTCTTTTCTGCATAAGAGGAACAAAATGCACATAATTTCTGCGCAAATACCAATGAGATAAAAAAATACAAAGCTACATAGCTGATGATTATAAGAAAAATACCATCTAACGAACTCTGTTTATGATATCCAACAACCGATTTAGAATTTTAATTTTTCAGGGAATTATGCAGGTTTCTTTGTATCATATATAGAGACAAAGCATAATGTTATTTCTGGTACGAGTTATATGCTAAATCGAAAGCTAACAATGCCTTTATAGCGAGGAACAAAAAAAAATCTGTTTGAGCTCCATTTTTTTGTTCAAAATGCATTTTGGAATAGTCTTTTGACGGAGAATGTGTGGTCAAAAAATAAGAAAAATTTTAAATTTACGTGTAATATTATTTTAATGAGAATGTATGGTTAAAAATAGAAGAGAAAAATGTAGTTTGAAAATAATGGGGACCAAACAAGGGCATGAAGTCGTACGATAAATACAAAAGCTACAAACCTCATAGATGACCATAAGTAATGGCAACGCAGGGAACAATGCTTTTGTTTCTTCGGGTTTTCCTGCTGCTATATTGGTCAGACACAAAGTAGCTTCTAGCAACTAAAACATGGCACACCCAAAAAAAAAGTTTGAAAGAAAAAATCAGAAAGTTAGTCTTTGTAAGTTCTGCATTTATATCAGAAAAACAAGAAACATTTGGAAATCTTGATATATATATCTAAAAACAAGAAACACTTGGAATCCTTGTTACAGTTTTCAGTTCAAAATGTAACAAATCTTAACACCTGCTCATCGGGGGATCCAAATGACAGACACTGAACCAGAAGAGGCATTGCTCCAGCTTCGACTGGAGGAAATTCGATTTAGACAACAGGCGTCTTATTTCACGAAGAGCACTCACTCTTTTCTGTGTTCCACCCTTTCCCCCCTAACAGTTACATGAAAAGGACACCCTAGGAAGAATTAAAAAATGGTGACAAATGTAGAATCAAGACCAACAAAACTTATGTCAGTATCCTATAGTAAACTATAATACAAGAAAGTGTACACTCTTATGGAACCTATTCTTGCACACGCATTTCCTCATGTACATTCAACTTGATTAGAAGTCAAAGCACCTGTTAAAACTTCTATAAAGATTGAAACTTGGTTTGGGTGCTAAATCTGAGTCGGTATATATGGTCGCAATAATATTTCAAAGGAGACTTCAAAATGTTTACATATTCTGTGTAGTAAACAACTGAAAATTATGGTTTATATAAAATTCAATGATAACACTCTCAAGGTCAGGAAGCAGAAACTTAAATTACTGTAAATAGACTAAACAATGAAAGAACATAGCATACTGATAGGTAATCGCAAGCCTCAATTCATCTACAGCTTTTAAAGTTTGAGCCTCCAGTATAGATTGTTCTTCATCAATCATCATCTTGCCATCAAGAGAAACATCAGCATCATCAAGGTTGACACCCACTTATTAAGACTTGGGTTCCATCTTAAAAGATCAACCTTGTTAAAAGGAGTAGTGGATTTATCCTTAACATGCCTCAACAAGATGGTGGCCTGTTTGAAAAAACATCGCATGCTAATTTTTTTTAGTCTTAATCAGATCGAATAGCTCGTGGGAGCTTAATTGGCTTTGATACCATATTAAGACTTGAGGTTCCATCTTAAAATGTCAACCTTGTTAAAAGTAGTCTAAATTCTTGTATGTTGATCTATATTTCGATATTTAACTAACGTGGGATTTATCCCTTAACGCCACTCTGCATAAGCACTTGGTCCGGACCAATGCTTCTCTTCTTTCCTTCCCTACTGTGACTGCATGCTGCCGTCTTCTTTGAGCCGCAGCATTTCCAACTGAACTAACCAACAGATCACATTCACCACAAAATTAAAGGATAAAGCAGGATGTATCCAAAGTGACATCCTCCTATGTGGAGGGGGTAGTACAGTGATTGAAATTTTCAAATTCAAAATCAATGGTGTAGATCAAGTCACTTGGTAGAGTGTCAATCATAATATCAATTGAAAATTTAATTTTAAAACAAAATGAAACAATGTACATCCACTTAGTTATGCAATATTGCAAATGTACGAATCTTGACTGAAGGACACTCTGGTATTTTCGAGAGTATAAAACTCAACATTTTCCCGGTTAACCAAGCTTACTTGAAATTAGTTGATTATCTCTAGAACCAAATAATATAAATAAAATCATTAAAAATACAGGATTCTGTTAATCAAATATCGAATAGAAAAACTATTTTACATTAAATAAATATGACAAGAGTAAGAAGTAAAACACAAAATGATGAATTGGGATTTTAGGGATGACTATTTTTATAAATTCCTATACGATTTCCGTCTTCCGAAAGTACATATATTCAACTTAGCCTACTCCACATTAACACACACAAGCACACAATACGTAATCATGTACAACCCATAACTATAGTCTATAGGGTTCTCTTTTGTGGAGTTAAGGCTTCTCCAGCCATTGTTCAAGCTCCTGTTGACTACAAAGAGAACATCTTTCGACTGGAAATTTCCAGAAGCGAAGAAAGGAGAAACAAAATTAACACACAACAAATAGCTTTTGAATTTCTCGGGAGATGAAGATCGATGAATGTAGGGCTAAACAATGAAATAGCCAAATCGCAAAATCGAATGAAACCGCTTTTTTCCACTTGGATTCATCATGTTCTAGTTTTAAACCGAGCCAAACTGTTTCAAAGTGATTTGGTTTAGATTTCAATCATTGCAAACTATTTCAAACTGTAGTTTAAAAAAAGAAGTAATCAGCATATAACGTTACTCTTGTGCAAATCATCTCTATCTTTCATTTTTTGAAATTTTCATCCTTAATTATATATTTGATTGCGCAAAATGTCATTTTCCTCCATTTTCATCAAACTTCTCAAGGGTATTTTCGTCTTATAATATTTTTTTTTCTCTTTCTTCCTATCTGAACCCATTCTCTACTCTCTTTTTTTTGGTGGGTTTGACAAGGATCAAACTACAAAATGAAGCTGTAAGAATACCAGTTGACAAAAGCAAACATCATCAAATCATAGATAGATTGATAAAGAATTAAGGAGAGAATACTGGTTCACTGATTCCTGTTGATCTTCTACCTATGTAGCTAGCTGCTCCCATTTCTCAGAAACAACACTTAGATGCATAAATCTCAAAAAAAATGAGGATCTCAGCTCTCCTAGCCCAATTATGAGCAACCAAATATCTTTAAAATTTGTATAAAAAATAAATCGTTAAATTACAATCCGCAGAATACATGTAAATCAAAGGGAAGTAAAAAATGAATCTTGAATCTTGAACTCAATTCAACAATACATCCAAGCTAAAAGAAGCAATTCATTTCCCCATCAAATCGAAAGAATCAGTTCGGCTGCTTCCCACCAACAAATGAGAGCAATCCATCTTCGGCTGCCTCACTTTCGTCCAAGAACAAGTCCTCATTGCCCCTAAAAATCGTTTTCTTCCTATCATCAAACTCAATCACTCACGCTGCCAAGCAACATAAGAAACTAAATGTTATTTTTCAGAGGAAAAAACAGAGGAGAAAATGGGTTCAGACAGGAAGAAGGGAGAAAAAAAAATGTTATAAGATGAAAATATCCTGGACAAGTTTGATGAAAGTGGAGGAAAAGAAACTTTTTGTGAAGTGAAAAGTGTAATAAATGTGAAAATGTCAAAAAATGAAAAGTACGAACGATTTATACAATAGTAATGAAAGTTAAGAACTTTACGTGTTAATTACCCAAAAAATCTAAAAATAAATTAATTTAAATATAATCGAATTCAATTAAAAATACACACATCCCAATTAAAAAAGACACATTCATATTAAACATCATATAATTAAATTCAATATCTAAATAGGCAATTATTCATTACAATTAATTAATTAAATCATATCTGAATACATATGTGTAAATGTCAAACCATCAAATTGGGTGAAGTATTGAACAACAGTCATTGAATCATATTCATCGATCGACATTACAATTGAGCAGACAATTAAA